ATATATATAATATATAATAATATATATATCTATATATTAAAAGTATATAAAATATATCAACATTAGACATATACAATATATGAGTTTAACTCTATAATATTAAAATATTATTTATGATATAATATAATAATAACTATATCTAATAATATATAATATATTTATCATATATTTAATCCAAAATAAAAAATATATATTTTTTTAATCATATAAATTTATATTTAGATTTCATTTTCTTATTTTTATTTTATATATATATATAGACATAAATATAAATATTCGCATTCTAAAATTAGAATATATCGTAATTATTAATTATTATTTTTTTTTAAATAATTGATTCCTTTTTTCAAGACATCGATGAATGTCAAGCTGGACACATCTGTAGAGAAGCAGATGAAATTTGTCACAACATCAGAGGTAGCTATCGTTGTAATAAAATAAAATGTCCCAACGGATATCACCGTGATCATGAAAGAAAAAAGTAAGTCTATTTTTTTGAAAATATAATAAAATAATAAGAAATATTATCCTTGAAAATAACTTGCATAACTTATCATACTTAAAATAATTTGCATTCGTAAAATAAAATAAGAAACATATTCTTAAAATAAAGTTAGTAAAAATATATATAAAAGATATATACAAAATATTAATATATTCATTTAAAATATTTTTGAAAAATCGACTCTTAGATATAGTTTAATAAAACAAGCAAAAATTAATATACAAAAATATTGATTGAGGCTTATTTATTATATAAGTTACTAAGTTAGCAATTTATGTTTGCATTATGGTTGCATTTGAAGAGAAACAAAGATACAATAAAATTTTTATTCTATCTTTGTTACACCACTTTATTTAAAAAACATATAATTATATATTCGACACTGATTAGAAATTATCAGATTAAAAATCGAAAAGAATTTCCAATGGCGGATATTGATTTTTTATAAGTACAAAAAACAATTGTAAAATATCAAAAAATGCAACAAAATGCAAACAAAATTCAAAATAATTATACATATTGATAACAATAGTTATATTAAATGCGTAAACAAAAGAAAAGCTGATTACATCAAAAATTTTCTTTCATTTTTTATATTTTCTAAAAAAATTTAAATTGTTTTCGTCAATTCCATAGAATAAAAAATGTCTATAATACATATACGTTATTGATCTCAAATGTGTTAATAAATAATAAAAAGTTTTCTAGAAATTGATTTTCAAAAGATTCTATGAATATAATAATATACTTATTCGTCAAAATATTTAATTAGAATATTTTATAAAGACATTTATAAAAATACTAGTATATTTGAATATGTTATAGTATCGCAAACAAAATTTTGCTAAATTTCAAGGACTTTTTGGATTTTGAATGATTATTTTTCATGAAATGAAATAGATTTTAAAATGCTTTAAACGTTATTAATATAACAATTTAAAAAAATAAAGCAAATCTTAGACAATCAAATTAATTAATGATTAACCAATGATTAAAATTTATAATATCAAATTTTACAAATTAATAAATTATTTAGACATTGATGATTCATGAAGAATCATCTAATATTAATTGATTTCATGTTTTCGCGGAAAATCACTATGATATGTTTATTACGAAAATTCTTGAACTATTTTTTGTTCTTTATTTTAAAAATCATTTTCATTTCCATGAAAGATGATTATGATTTTCGACTTTAGCAAACATTAGAAAATCTTTGAAATGATAAATTTCAGTTTAAAAATCTTGCTTAAACGATACTATAGTATAATCATAATTAAATCAATTAATTATCGCATAAACTAATTATGTTATAATAAATTATTGAAATTTTAGCCGATGTGTGAGATCATGGCCATGTCATATCAACGATCATGCTTGCATTAGACAACCATCGCATTACTCATATAATTTCATCACTCTTGTAAGCATGTTACCGGTTATGCCAAACAGACCGGAAGAACTATTTAAAATGAAAGGATATCACCTGCCAGGCTCTGCGATACAATTCAGTATGGCGTTCTTGGAAGCACGTGCACCACCTGGAATACAACGAGCCACAGAATCGTGTTTCGCATTGAAAAAGCCTGAACCCACACAAGCTGTTTTAGTAATGACACAAAGTATTCAAGGTCCTCAAGAAATCGAGCTCGATTTAAATATGGAGGTTTATCATAATGCACATTTTGCCGGAAGTGCAATAGCAAAAATTTTGATTTTTGTTTCTCAATACGAATTTTAATAAATTCTTATGAAACATGAATGAAGAAATATTTAAAGAAATATTTGAATTAACATTTGTTCTTTATATTAAATTTTTAATATAATTTTAACGAATTTGCGAATATTTTATTTTAATTATTTTGTAAAATAATCTTTTATTATTCATTCACATTTCAAATATTAAGTTGTTGAAAAAAAATAAAATAAATAATAATAATAATTGAGTTTTTGATAAAAATTTCAATTTTTTTATAGCTTTATTCACAATAATATTAATCAAAATATTTTGAACATAAATAAGTAATCATGATTTTGAAAAAGAATCTTTAATCTATCTTTTGTCAATAATATTTTGTTTTATTTTTAATATTCGTATTATATTCTTTAATTTTTTATTTACAATAATAGAATACAATAATACAATAATTATCTATTTTTTTAATGTTAGTTTTTCGAAAAATACATATATATAATAATAATATTGTATTTGATTAATTTCAAATTGTTATAAATATTATTTAATTACTAAATTATTAAATTCAAAACATTTAATTATTAATTTCTAAATGATTTTATATTGCGAAATCAAATATTTCATAATCAAAAATAACAAAAAATAATTATGTAATATAGAACATTATTCGATAAATTCGTTTAGATAAACGATACTTCGAATAATTGATCAAGAAAAACGAAATTTATTAATGCTATGAAATAATTAAAAATTAAAATTTTCAAATTTTCATGCATGTTTACTTTTATTTATGTATTGTAAAAAATAAATTAATCATTTTTAAATATCATTTCAGGATATGTATTTCAAAATGCAAATATATTCTAAATTAAATATTCATTCTCTATTCAGATAATCACTTATTTGAATAATTAACATTTTACAAAATATAATTATAAATATTCTGATCCATATTTAAGAAATATATTTACGATTTTATTATATCATTTAAATGAAATTTCATATGATTAATAAGATTTTATAATCTCTTTAAAGTAAAAGTATTTGCTATATCTGTAAACTATCACACTATAATTCTATCAAATTTTTTTTTCTTATTTTGTTGCATATATTGTAAGTATTTCTATTAAAAACTTATCATAAAATCTTTCAAATAGTATTTTTCCATATTTAATGTACAAAGAGAAACGTTAGGAATAGTTGTAAAAAAATAAAACGAATCATAACGAATAGAGCAATAATTATATTTTATATTTTGGATAAATAAGTCGATTTATATGTAGAATATAGAATATATTTGAATTTGTACACGTAAGAAGATGAAAAAAATCACATAAATCGTTTTAAATTAAATTTTCATTTATCTCTATTTTGTAAATGTGTATCAAAATCGTAATTCTGTAACATGCTTCAATAACGAAACGTTTGATTTCGTTGTATCTAATAATAAATCTATTGCTGATAATCATAATTTATATACATATTACAGCACTTTTTAAGAAAAATCTATTATATTCGATATATCTAGCTGTAAAAAAAAAAACAAAGATAACAATATTTTTAAAATTTCCACACATCTATCTATTATAATATAAGTGATTGAATACTTCAGCACAAAAGGAAATCATACTATATTAATTTACATATTTTTATATAATGAAGAAAATATAAAATATAGATCAAAAGTGATCTTGCTTAATTATTTTTCATTATTAATTTGACGATTAATAACTTTGATAAAAAGCATACAATTAAGGAAATCATTTATAATAAAAACTAAATATTTATTAAAAATGAAATAAGATTTTTGAGTGAAAGTATACATTATTGATTTTATAAATTCGGTATACATAGATATGATATATAAATATATTTGTATCTTTTTTGTTGCGTAAATAAATATTTGATTTCTTCCCTTTATAAAATGCATAACTTAATTTATCTTGAGATCTTCAACATTACGTAAGCAGTTGCACGAAACAACCGCAGCGTAGATTATGATATAAAATATTCATAAAAAAATAAAATAAAGTTAATAGAATATAATTCATATCGAAGCAATGATATATTATTTATATGGATATACAAATAATCATTAATAATAATTGTATTAATAATTAATATGATTATTTATAATGAATATTTATAATTATATCGATGCTTAAACGTTGATATTTATAATAAAAATGAAGATAATAATAATAATAATAATAATATTCTAATAATTAGAAATGATTTATTCAAAAGCTCGAAATCTCGAAGTATTTCGCAACTCAATAAGTCTTCTTTCTTTTGAAGCTTGAATTTTTTATTATTTTCGAAATTCTCGAAATTTATTTAAAAAATAATATAATTTGTAATAAACGTGTATCTAATAAAGTAATAATAATCGAATTTTAGAAAACCATTTTAAACAATTTCATAAATCTATTATATTAAGTTATAATATAAGAAAAATAAAATATAAAAAATTAATTTTTTGCTAGTTTATCAATTAATAAATTTAATAATTTTAGAAATTAAAATTTTAAGATTTTAGTTCTTGATAAAATAGAATATCTTTAAAAATGAAAGGAAAACAATATTCTAGATTTCGAGAATTTTGAGATTTCTAAGAATTTAAAACTCATATTTCGATTCATCAATAATTTTAATAACTTAATAATATTAATAATTTTAAATATGCACAGAAGAACCATTGATGTTATAAATTATTAAATGAAATGAATAATTGAAAAATAATTTAAAACAGTTTAAAAAGTAATTATAATAATTGAAAAGTAATTTAAAAAGTTTGGAAGTTGGATATTATAGATTTATGAAATATTAAAATTCAGAATGCACAATTATTTCTTCTTGAAGCAATTTAATCGAACAATAGAGTTTTAAAAAGTTTTAAAAAATATAATATGTATAATCTAAGCAAAAATTATTTTATAAATACAGATCCACAAGATCTGATCCAAATCAGAAATCGAAATCAAAAGTCCTTGTAAATGTGAATATATTTACAATTTGCTTATACATCTATACATAGGCATATTCGATTTACAGCATGGTAACGATTTGATCGAAGACTCATAAAATTTATTACTTTTAAACTTTTTAAAAGAAAATAATTCTTATTTTTAAAATCTATATAAACTTTTGACCTTTACCTACACTATCGAAATATAAATAAATTCTCAATAAACAATTAAATTCAAGTTTTAATTACTGGAAACACGATTTATCACAAGTATATATTCTGATAATGGTACGTAATGGTACGTCTGATAAATGATACATCTGGTAATAGTATTCTGGTACGAAAAATGGGGAAATGTGTGAATCTATTCATGTTACAATGTGTTACAAAGAAATTATTATGAGTTATTATTGAGTTGCAGTTGTAGAGATACTTTACGAAGACGTATTTTACACGTTTGCTTGTTAAAAATAATTATCTTTTTTCACATTGCCGTTCGTTTTTTTTATCCTATTATTATTAACATTACATGTGAGATCCTTGTTAATGAGTTTCTACAATAATAATAGATGCTTTCCATTCTTTGAATTCATTAAAATATTTTTATATTTTCCATATATCCACGAAAATTATTATTCTCTTAAATCGATGCTATATAATTTTTATCATATCTTTATATTTTTATTTATTCATTTCTTTTTCATTTATATGAAAGCCCTTAAAATTACTAAAATTTAATAAATTCTGCTATTTATATTATATTATATACGAACGAATGCTATATGAATATATTTTGCGTTAAAAATACTTAACAATATTAATCGAATTTTTAAGGAAAGCATCCACGGCAGACTTTATAAAGGAATTATCATTAATAATATTAATGCACAACGATATTAACAAGTATACTTATAATAATTATAATATATAATGGTAATATACAGAATGCGGTATAAAATTGCAACGATATATGAGTTAATTTTTAGAATATAACAAAAAAATTGTTTCAAATCGAAATTTATTAAGTGAGGAATTTATTAATATAAAAATCTTTTGAAAGTATCATATAATATTATAAATAATTTCAAGTATTATATGTTCAAGTAATTTTATTTGTAATATGTAATAATGATTATTGAATTAAAATAAACATACATTTAAATGGCAATAAATAAATGAATTGTATATCATAATTGAAATTAAATTATTATAAAATTATTACAGGATGTAATAATTAAAATAATATATGATATTATTCTTTTATTTAATTTAAAAAGAAGAAAAAAATAAAATAATGCTATTTGAAAAATAAAAAATAATTTTATAAAAAATAAAATAATTTTATTTTTTATAAAAAATATTTTCAAAAGTTTTCATATAAATAAAGTCGAATTTGAAAACATAAAAGGAAAATTTAGATTATAAATGGAAAATATTTTATCGAAGTTTTCGAATAATAAAACTTTAAAAATTAAATTCAACATATAAAGACTTTATAAAAGAATTAAACAAATTAATATCTAATTTTTAAATTCATTTGAACTCAAATCCTTAAAGTTAAACTCAAAATTTTGTGAAGTTTCAAAATTCTCGAAATTCAAAATGTTTATTATTTTTCTTTTTTTTTTTTCTTTTATTTTTCATCTAAATTTCGAGAGTTTCAAATCACAAGAATAGTTTTAAGATTTCGAATTTTCAAAAGTTAATACATTCCTAATTTTTTTTAATTGTAAAGATTTAAAGAAGGAAAAATTTATATATCTTATTTGTAATATTGGATTCAATTCCAATATTTGAAAGAAAAATGACAAATTATTCTTTCAAATTAATTATTATAGTTAATATATTCTGATACATAATTAATTATTCTGAATTTGCATAAAATAATATACTTAAACATATGACAAATATTTAGAATTAATGTAAATTTACATTTTGATAAATAGAGATTTTTACAATAAAATGGAAAGAAGAATTGTAGTTTTATAGAAATTTTCAAATTATTATTATAAAAATTCAATCTATTCTTCACATAATAAGAAAAAACTTTCATGTAAAACAATTTTTTGTTAAATTTTAAAAACAAATTTAAATATCGTTATAATCCATTTATCTCGCACTGTACACATATAATAATATACGTATATATATATATATATATATATATATATATATATATATATA